TCACCTACTACCATACGGTTTTCACCTCTGAGGAGCGCACCTATATCAGGGTGATATCCTGCCGGGCAGCAGGTGACAGGGGGTATGTATATGTTAAATATTTCGAGCTCGACATCGCCTGACCGGATAGCGATGCCCTGACATTCTAGGGTGGTATCCCTGCAGTCGATGTCTGCTTCGATAAGACGATACTGCACGGTGTGGTGCGTGATGAACGCTAAGCCACCACCATTATCTCGCTCGCGATCTCGACGGTGCACGTTGTACCCGGCGCAATTCAGCAAAGTTGAATTGCTGTGCAACTTCGTCTCTTGGACCGCAGCTATTAATATACCATGCCGACACATGAAGACGGTTATCTCCTCAATCTTGCTCTGTAGCCCGTTACAGTTAAATTGAAGGAGCTTCATGTGGTTCGGGAGACGTGTCGTGATGTGGGGTGTAAGTGAAGTGTATGTTCTTGCCGCCGTTGGCTGTGTGTGCTGCTGATTGCCGCCCTGTGGTGGTGGGTCCAGAGGTTCATTAAGCAACCTCTGGACCCGACAGCTTACAGACAGGCCCTGAACGGCATTCACAGGGACTCAGTCTCGAGTTATGTAGACTCTAGACCTGTGAATGCCGTTCTAGGCACACCACCCCCGGACATTGACGAGACGGAGCTTCATCTGCCTCGGGAGACACGCACAACACTCGCACAACTTCGCTCCGGCTACTGCAGCAGGTTGAACTCCTACTTGAGTAGGTTGAATGAGGATGTGCCGAATGAGTGTCCGGCATGCGGAGAGACCCCACATGACTCGAAACATCTCTTCGCATGCCCGGAAAACCCGACAACCCTAACGGCCTTGTCCCTGTGGATAAACCCCACAGAAGCTGCACGCTTCCTAGGGTTGCCGTTAGTGGAACTTGACGACAACGACTGAGAAACCAACCGATCTGGGCGGGGTTGTTGTAGCCGCTACAACAACAACAACAACAATAACCTGACACCGAAATTTGACGACAGTCTTTGACATGTACTGCGATATCTACCTTTCGTCAGTTTTTATCATGTATTTGACACCAAGTGAACAGTTGTTAGTTAAGGCAGTTTTTGATGTCAGTACTTTTGACATAATGAAAACCAAGCATTAGATAAAGTTTTAAGATAATAAGGAATCTGAAATATTATTTATTTTTTGTGAATGTATTTGTATAGCTGAGTTGTGTAACTATTTAAATCAATAAATACATTTTACTGTGAGTTAATACTGAAACATTTATGGTGACGTACAATAATGTCAATGGAATTAATGTCACTGACATTAATACACAATTGAAAAGTGAATTAATGTCAATGACATAAACCCACTTTCATTTTGTGAATTTAAGTCTAAATAACAAAATTTATTTTTATAACATTACATATTTTACTTTTAGAGATGAATCAATTCCCAAGTGACTTATGGCAATTGACATTATTTCAATTTTGGCCTGTGTAGCAGTGTTGCCAGGACTTCAAAAATAAAAAAGCTAGATCGGCCAAATAATACAAATACAAATGTACCACCGAGCAACAATAATTGTAAATATCTCAACAACCAAAGTACTTACGATCATGAAATTTCACGAAAGCCTTGTGCAAAACATTTTTGAACCGCATACCGTTGAATTAAACCATTTTAATATAAAATGGACTCCTTTTTAGGGTCTGAAAACCCATAGTCCTTAAAGAAAAAGCAGTGGTACATTTGTACCACCAAATATCTTCACACATTAAAATACGATTACAATCGAAAATGAAGCAGAATAAACGGTGAAGTCGATTTATACTTGGCAAACTGTTTAACT